TCTCCACTGGGTGGAGCTGTTTCCCAGGAACAGAACCTCACTTTTGCTGCTGGAAAAACTTAAATCCCCATCCATGACTTGAAATATGTACTATTTCCCCCCCAAATTTTCATTTGCTTTGACTGAGAAGAAAAACTATATCTACTAAACAAATATCTGATTCATGCTGATGAAAGACGAGCAGGAAATTGACCTCTTCTTCCTCAGCCCTCAACCTGCTCTCACCAAGACTGAAAAATACAAAAAATAAAATAAAGAACAAAACTCTGCATTACTTGAGAAGTATAATATAATATAATATTTACTGGAATATCCATTCTAACCATATATGCAGTGAATTTGTTTTTAACAAGTCCATTGATTTAAATATGAATTTAAATGCAAACATTGGAGGTAAGCCTTAGATGTACACCATTTCCCTAGAAGGGGTCCATAATCTTCAGGAATGTTCTGGTCTTTGCCACAGATCTCCACTGGGTGGAGCTGTTTCACAGAACTTCTGACGTCACTTGTGAACTGAATGCACTTCATGTCTGATGTGAAAAGCTATTTGTCTACTGATCAAAAAATGTTTGGGTTCATGCTGATATTTTTTAAACACTAGTTCAAATCAATTTTATAATCCAAAACATATTATTAAAATCAAATAACATAAACTCCAAATTCTAAGAATGTGTAGAGAAACAGGTGAACATGTTTCAACCTATAGCCATTACCACATATATCCACTAGGATGGGTTGTTTCTCAAGAGTGCCGAGTTCACTTAATAATTCTTAATAAGAATATGTTTTTGCAAATGTCTTTTGCTAACTTCAAATAGCATGATGTTAGTAATTATCACATGTGCAGTATATAATTGTTGTTAAATTATATGGTGAAATAGTCTGGCTTGTAAAATATTTGCTCAATTTATCAATACTTGGTACATTCTTCATGTTTGTTTGAAGGCTGTAACTTTCATTTGTTTAATAGATTACTGGAAATTGAAAAGCAACACACACACACACACACACACACACACAGAACTTGTGGAAACTAATTGCGCAGTATTTGATTTTTCTTACTTGTGAACTGAATGTTCTGTTGTTCGCTTTGACATCGAGTGTTGTCACATTTTTGGAACAGACAATAAGATTGCATGAACTACTCTGAAACCACCTGGTCTATGAAGTGTTAACTCAGATAAAGCCAGGAGCTCATTCATCAAACCCAGATGGTGTTGAATTAAACAACAGCTTTCAGTCTGAACTACCAAATTCAATTTGTCCTCATTTGTTTCTATTTTTAAAAGCCATAAAGTTTAGAATTTTAGAGCTGGAGAACTTGGATGCATGGATCACAGGACCTCAATAAAACTCCTTCTATCCTCCTCTGTGCTTTTTTTCTTTCTTTCTTTTTAATGTAGGACTTAGAAAGAAAGACACAGAAAACATAGTTAAGCTTTGATAACATTTATTTCTCAACACATGAAGACTGAATGAATATCAATACAAAAACATTTATTTTACATTGGTATCATTTCATATCCATGTTTTCAGGTTTGTCCTGTGTGCTGCTGTGTGTCTCTGTCCTGCTGTCTTCTGCCTGTGAACACACACTCTGCTGTGCTTTGTCCTCTGAGCTCCTCTTGATAGTCAGCTCTCTCTCAGCCTCTTCAACACACGGAGCTTTGGCTGCCTGGATGTGGAGCTTCCCATCTGGAGACAGGTGGCAGGTGATGGCTTGAGGGTTCAGTCCTTCAGGCAGATCAAACTCCTGTCTGAACTCCTGCAGTCTGTAAGAGTACGAGCCTTTCCCGTCCTCCTGCTTCTTCTCTGTCTTGCCACTGACTCTCAGCTTCCTGCCCACCTGCCTGACAGACAGCTCCTCTGGGGAAAAGCCTCGAGTGTCCAGCATCAGAGCAAACTTGTCTCCCTCTTTCTCCAGCTGGACGGCAACTGGCTGCACAGCCATGCTGCTTTGGAAAGGATCTGTCTCCTCCAGGATCCTGTGTTGAAGTTTATCCATCAGCTCCAGACTGCTGCACAGCTCCTGTAGGTTTCTCTGCAGGAGATCCTGCTGGTAGAACAGAGGCTTGATCTCTGGCCACAGACTGCGTACAGGCCAGTAGAAGTCCATGAATGGACTGAGTGCAGACTGGACTCCATGAGAGCACAGCATCTTCAGTGGGTTTAGTGTTGAGTCCTCTTCTTGTGAGATGAAACACTGTTCAGGTGTCTGTTGTCTTCTTGGTGTTGCTTGTCTTGCTTTCTGTCTCAGCAGTGAGACTGTCCCAGTTTATATATACTAAGTGGAGGAGGTCCAGAGTCTTCAGGAATGTTCTGGTCTTTGCCACAGATCTCCACTGGGTGGAGCTGTTTTACAGGATTTATGACATCACTTCTTTTCTGTGAAACTATTTGATTACCGCATGTATTTACTAATGTCCATATAGGCTGCCTCAGTGACAAAAACATGCAAAATATATAAATGTGTAATAAGCGTAAATGCCACATATTTCAGATCTGACATCAAGTTTTTATTGTTTACTTTGATTAAGTAAATATTCAGTTACATTATTTAAATTTTTGTTCAAATGTGATATTTAAAAAAAACACAACCACAAATCCAAAATCCAAGAACGCCTAGATACTCTTTCACGGTAATTGCAGAACATAGTGCAGTTTGATGCATTTATCACATATAACCAATTTGTGGGGCTTTTTCTCAAGAATACTGACTTCAGTTAATGTTCAATGTAGGATCAGAACTGTAAATCTTTAACATACTTTATTAAATTGCTACAGTTGGCTGTTGATAATTATCAGATTTAAAGTATTTATTTATTTATTTATTTTCAGTCTCAGCTCAAATGATCTGACTTGTAAAATGATTGCGTGTATTAGGCGATACTTATTTTGTTCTTCATGTTTCTTTGAATTCTGTAGCACTGCATTTGTAAAATAGGCTTCTGGATATTAAAAAGCACGGCTCACATAGACCTTGTGGAAACTAAATGCACAGTTTTTAATTTTTTTTTAACACCCATCCATCCATCCATCCATCCATCCATCCATCTTCATCCGCTTTGTCCGGGGCCGGGTCGCGGGGGCAGCAGCCTAAGCAAAGAGGCCCAGACCTCCCTCTCCCCAGCCACCTCCTCCAGCTTATCCGGGGGAACACCAAGGCGTTCCCAGGCCAGCCGAGAGATATAATCTCTCCAGCGTGTCCTGGGTCTGCCCCGGGGCCTCCTCCTCCTTTAACACCTGAACTGATAAATGTTTTCTTGTTCACTTTGACATGCAGAGCTGTCATTTGTTGGGAACCAACACAAAATTAAAACTACCCACATGGAGTTAAATATTAAGTGGGTTTTTTTTGGTCTGCACAATCAAATCCCATTTTTATTAATTTCTACAGATTGACAGAAGAAATAAAACGATTAAATATGTCTGCTTTTTTCTTTAAAGAAACAACAATAATGTTTCTACAAGAATATGAATGTCAGACAAAGCCAAAATTAAAAGTAAAGAAAAAAATCAATTGAAATCATTTAATCTGTTCATTACTGTAAGACTGAATAAATATGTGTATCTTTAAATCTGTCAGACAAAAGTATGTTTATCTTGAAGACCAAATGAGCAATGAAATAATAATCATTTCTGAAATATCCCCTTAATTTAATTTAGCATCATGAGTAAATACTCAGAATGAATTTGTTCATTTCCATTAAATTGCTAAAGTGAAGTTGAGATTATATATCCATCACACAGCTTTTGTGTCTGCCGACGGCATACTCCAGCAAAAGAAGGACTTGTTTGCCTGAACAGGTTTACAGTCAGTCGAAGAGCCAACACAGAGAAAGACAGAAAGACTCAAGTACACAGTCATACCTTTGTCAAATTTAGAATCGCCAGTAAAGTTAACTTGCATGTTGTTGTACTGCAGGAGGAAGCAGCTGAACAGATCCGACATAGATTCAGTGAGAAACTACACACATAAAGTCCCGAACCAGCCAGCTGTAGATTCGCTGTTGCTGTGAGGCCAGAGTGAAGAAACTGTGCTAAGTACTGCACCATCATCATGGATACTTTGAAGTATCTTTCTTGGTAATCAGGCTTCCTCCCACAGTCCAAACATGTGCTTCATTATAGATTGCATAATGTGAACATGAATGACATTCATTCTCTCAGCATTAACCCTGTGAAAGACTGGGAACTCTTCCAGGGTTTCACAGGACTTCTGACATCACTCATATGATTTCTTCATTACAAGTTTCACCAGTGATCATAAGAGACTACAAAACTACCAAGCTTAGATTTGAGGGAAGCAATATTCAGTTATGGTGCGAAAGTTAAACTCAATTTTTAGTGGAAATCATTCAATACAGACCAGACTTTTTTTTTTTTTGAAAATCGACGACTTTTCACAAGTCTATGAAGAAAGTATGAAACACCTCGTCTATACATAGGGCCTTTTTATTATTCTTCCAACAGTAATTTGAGGTTTCATCCACTAGATGGCAGGATCTCCTTCCTCATACATGTACTCCCAAAACTTTTGAAATACCTCTGAAATATGTCTTCTATTATACCATATTTGGTATTAAATACTAAGTATAAATACATAAATAAATTTATTTTCCTTGTTATTTTTCAAGTTGTTTGCAGACCTGCTTTGTGATTTCCTGCCTTTTAATTTGCATTTTCCTTTTGTTAAAATAATACTTTCCTACTAGTGGTTTTACAGTTTTATGATTAGAAATGAATAACATAACCATGTGATGTAATGATACACATATAATTGTAACATACTGACTCTAGACTACACAATCCAAGATGTACTCCATGTTTTTTCCAAAGGGTAATTAACATTAAAGCCCTCATCTGGATGTATACTTCTGCACATAGACACAAATTAACAACTGTTTATGCGTCAAACTAAACAATCACACCAACTGAAATATGTAAAGATATATTTTTAATCAATTAATTATTGTCATGCCTTGTAATATGTTGCATTGATAATTTACAGCACTGAATGTTATTTTTGTCAGATTTTCTAATAGCAGTTTATACCTCTCATCTATCCTTACTTATTTTACCTTTCCTAAGAGTATAGAACAAAGACTAATATGATGATGATGCAGAGAAGTAGGGCAGAAACAGCATGGAGCCAGGTTTTAAACCCACAGTCTTTTCAACATCTACTGTGTCTCTCAAGAAAACAAGACGGATGATGAAACCTCGACTGGCAAATACAGCAGTTTGCTGCTCGGGGATATTGTGTCATGGTTGGTGTCAATATTTTTGACAGATAAAGAGAATATATGATTTTTTGGAGTGGGAAAGAGACTTTTTCTTTTTCTTTTTTGTCAAGCATTCACCTTTGGATGAACTCTCAAAAGTGGAGGCAGGATAGAAGTGAGGAGGAGGTGGAGAAGAATGAAAAGTAACAAAAATAGAGGAAGGATGAGGAGGAGGAAGAGGAGGAGAAAGCAAGGCTCCGCTCCAAGTAAATCATCTGCATTGTTCTCCTAATGCTTCTTATACGCACCGACACCCACATATCCTGAAAGTGTCGGGACAGCGCCGCACACACAAAGAGAATCCCAGGCACAAATTCACACTTCCTTGTTACTGTCTTAGTTTGTCCCTCACGGAGATGGTTTTTAATGCACCATAATCCCCCTCGTTCCCTTGAACACATAAAAGACATATCCTTCTATCTGTGTAAGTGGCTCTGACGGCCACCAGCTCATCATAAACACACATGCACACACAAGCGCACACGGCCGCCAGCTCATCAACATGCAGTTATTCCTTTGGCGCGGGATCGCAGGCTGTTAATTGGCTGCCAAGCAGAATGTGTGTGTTTTTGTGTGTGTATGTGTGTTTGTGTCTGTACTGCAGAGCTGGGGTTGCTTAGAAATTCCCGTCACGTCCGGGAGCCTCGATTAAGACGTTGCTCCAGTTTCGAACAGACAGACATGTGGGGAGGAGGGGAAAGAGGTAGAGAGGGGTAGAGGATGCAGCAGGGGGGAGAAAGATGAGAGAACTCCAGAGGAGTGGGAAGAGAGAAAGAGAGGTGATGAGGCGGGACTCGGCAAAGAACAAAAAAAAAAAGAAAAAGGAAGGAGAAGTGAGAGTGAGAGAGAAGAAGTGAAATACTGCAGTGGTCCTGTGTGTGAGACCTAGAGCAGATAACATACACTCTACTGCCTGTCTTATCACTGTGATAGAGTTGCAAAGTAGAAGACAGTATTTTAGGTATGTGCTGTAGAGTTCCAGCAGTGGGAGTCCTGTTCATCTCCTGCAGATACATTGTTAGGTGACTGGCTCACATAGAACTGACAGTCTCCTGGATTAAACAGCAGTGCAACTGTGCTCAAAAAAGGGGGGAAAAATCTGTTTCCACGATGAAAAAGTGACACATACAAGGACATAAGTCAAGCAAGACTGAAAAGGCTCATTTCAGTCAGAAAAAGTAATTCACTTAGTCTCTGTTAGCAGATGAAGTTGTGTTAAGTGCTCTTCACTGAGAGGAAGCTACAGATATCTGATAAAGCATTTAGCAGTTTAAATTAGCTCGCTTTCAGAGTCCGGATCACTTCTGGGTGATGATGACTCTATTACAAAATTGAACTTAGTACGTTTTGCCTTACAGTTCTGTTTGAATGTCATTGTGGGGCGCAAAAACTCAAATGTTTGTTCAATAGTTGGTATCAAAGCTAAGGCTGGTGACCATGCATAGAATATATATATAGTCATGTACAGATATGTTTAGTGCTGGGTGATATGGAAAAAATATTTATCACGATATGAATTATTTTATGTCACGATAACAATATATCACGATATACCACCTGACCTGTGGTCATCTGGAAAGTATGCAGTCTGTAAACAGCAAGCACAGAGGGTGCTGTCTTTGTTAATGAAAGGGATGGTTACGCTCGTGTAGGGCTGTGTATCTCTGCTCGTCCATAGGTCAGTCACCAAGGCATAATGCACGACACTGCAAACATCCTTCTCTACTGAGTTGCGAGGCAACTCAACTTTACTGAAGTGCTTACGACCGGGCATAACGTACCACGGATCAAGGACTTTGATGAGGTCATGAAAGCTGTCCTTCTCAACTACATAAACAGGAGCCATGCCTTTACAAATGTAACGCGAGATGGCTCCTGTGATTTGTTTATGGCGCTGGAACGTTTTCTCATACGGCGTATCTTGTGCGAAAGACTGCTGTATCTTCAGCTGGCTATAGTTTTTCTTTTCCCAACTTGCTCCCATCGTTCCACAACTTGGTTTAGCTCGGATTTTCTGGATTCTTGAGTTTTCTTTTTCGTGGACCTTCTGTAGGTGATAGAAGAGATTTGTTGTGTTGCCATTGGGTGCAGGAATAGTTTTATAGCATAGCTTGCAAATGGGCGTCTTCTTTTTTTTTTTTTTTTTTTTTTATCGGCCTCGATACCACATTTTCTTTTTTTTTTGTGTCCCGTTTGGATCTTTAGCCATCAGAATTGTTGTCAAATGGGCGTCTTCTGCTACGTGTTGGTG